TTATTTTAACTAAAACTTTGGATAATTTTAATAAACTTAGCATTTTCCCGTGCCTCAAAGCCTGTCTCCACATCAGAAATACTTTTTGCAGGGTGAACTATCAGAGTACCACTTAAAGTCTGTTCATACAGTTTGCAGAGCAGTTAGAGAAGGGTTTTTTAGGATCTCTTCGCGGTGATCCTCTGTACACGCTCCCTTGTGCAGGGAGAAGGAGGCTGGGGCTGGAGGAACAGTTCCTGGTGACTGTGGCGGTTCAGGGCTGCAGGAGCTGTCCATTCGCCAGGCCCACACCAGCAGCCGATGAAACCACTTGAGTTTCTAGCTAGCCTAGCATGAAAACAGCAGGGTCTTTATCATGCTGGACTTAATACTTAGTTATTTTCATGTTGATTTTTTTTTTAAATTCAATTTTACATGGACTTCCTGAAAATAACTTCTTGCAAGTGTTATAAAACACATAAATACACTTATTCCTGACTCTTAATTACTAATGAGCTTCCTGTTATTATACTATTAAATGCCTCATACTCTAGCATGCAGTTATTTTTACTGCATATCTGTAATGCATATAGAATCATAGAATGGTTTGGTCGGAAGGGACCTTAAAGATCATCCAGTCCACACCCCTGCCATGGGCAGGGACACCTAACACCAGACCAGGCTACCCAAAGTCCTGTCCAACCTGACCTTGAACACTTCCAGGGAGGGAACATCCACAACTTCCCAGGACAACCTGTGCTAGTGCCTTACCACCCTCACAGTAAAGGATTTCTTCCTAATATCCTGCCTAAATCTGCTTTCTTCCAGTTCGAAACCATTCCCCCTTGTTCTATCGCTATCTGCCCTTGTAAAAAGTCCCTGCGCAGCCTTCATGTAGGCCCCCTTCAGGAACTAGAAGGCCACAATAAGGTCCTCCCAGACCTCTTGTCCAGGCTGAACAGCCCCAACTCTCAGCCAGTCCTTGTAGGGGAGGTGCTCCAGCCCTCTGATCATCTTCGTGGCCCTCCTCTGGACCCACTCCAACAGCTCCATGTCCTTCTTATACTGGGGGCCCCAGAACTGGATATTTTTTTAGTGTTTTTTTCTGTTTGTTTTGTGTTGGTTGGTTGTTTTTTTTAGGTCAGAAAGCACCATTATAATAATCTTATATTCATCATTTAGCATGCTGAGATACTCATGTTTGGAATGTCTGTGTGTCCATTCTACGCTTCCTTTTTAGCTATAGCTTTCTCTTTAAAAATAGATGTAAACTTGGTTTAAAGATTTTGAATTATAGGGAGCTCGACATCCCCTTTTGTAGTACAGTTACATAAAATCTGTTTAACTTTGAATTCATTGCTAACCTGAACTTACCCAGTGTAATTTTCTGAGAAACAGATCTAGTTATGCCTTTTCTTGTTTAAAAAAAAAAAAAAAAAAAAAAGGCTGCAGAGCATTTTACTATCTGAATTATCTTCCTTTGTAGATACTTGTGATCAGTGCAGATCTTGGCCTTCTTTGGGAAGAACAAGATTGGAGTGTCTTGACTTTTTTTCAATAAGGCATGTTTTTAGATCTTCAGATCTTTCTCCTAGCTCTCTTCTGAATCCTTTCCTAATTTTTCGAAATTAGTGAAGTGTGAATGCTGTGTTCGAGTAATTAATTTGCTAACAACATATGGAAAACAGTACTCAATGGGATACTAAGACAAGACTAAGCCAACCATACAGTTTGCACTGGAATAGTGTGCCAGTGTAGGCTACTGAAAAGCAGGCCTTTGAATTCTGCTGTGGTGAGCTGGCTTCCTCCCTGGGTTGAGGGTTTTTTTATTCTCAGTATTAAGAAAGTCACCTCCATGATCCTCTGGAAGTAGATTTTGGTTGTAATACCCTAAATTATGCATAAGACTTATTTCTTCATTTCCACAGGTTTGTTTTTTAAGTGTTTGATGTTTGTAGGAATGAAGTTTGTGTCATTGTCATAATAGGTATTTACATTCAAGCATGTGTGTCTAGTCTACTTTAATCTTTATGTTTATGATTAAAATGCTAGTTTAGCAGACTATGATTATATATTTGTTATTCAGAACAGGAGTGTACAAAATTGCTGGCATTTAATGTGAGGCAGGGATATTATAAATCTAGTAATTATTTTAACTAAAACTTTGGATAGTTTTAATGAACTTAATCTATCCTGAATCCATTTGCAATTTTTGTAGTTTCTGAAATGCTTTTATCTGTATTAAATGTTGGTTGTTTTTTTATTGTAACACATTATTGCTTAAAAGATCATCCTAGTTTCTGTTTTTGTGGCCCTGGTAGTATGTACAGTACTGCCAAATTAAATGGAGAAAGTAGGAAGATGTACCGTATTCCTTGAAGTTTGGTGGTGTTGCAGGTAGCTGCTAAAATCAATATAAAAGAACTTGACAAGAAAATCCATGTATCATATTGTTGCCTTTAAGGTAAAATTAAGCTTATGGACATTTCCATTGTCATTTTGATATCCTACACATGTTTTAATGTTTAAGCTGCAAAAGTGCTGGTGTTAATAATTTTGTGCAACTTGTTACAGTACAATAGTTTAGTTTAGCTTCGAACATGCCTAAATCAGGAATTTCTTACTTGGGCACTTGTATTCCTAAATAAAGTTGCCCTTTTCTGGTTGCATTACTTTAGTTGCACGTTAAGTGAAAACAAATGAGCAGCCTTATTCTAGCATGCATCTGTTGAAGATAAGCTGTTCCATGTGGAAAAGCCATTGGCAACTAATGCTGTTTTGGAGTGCTAACCTTACAAAGCTAGAAGGTAGCGCAGTAACATTCTTCTGTCCATCACTTCTCTGCCTGTTTCTTCTTATGCCAGTCATCTCATGCCCTGCTGAGCCATCATCCATCTCACAGGTGAAGCACCTGAGTTTGATGGCTAGCAAAGGATCTCAGGCACTTCAGCTATGAGATTGATGCCACTCCCCTAATAAAGCTTTGCTGCCTCTTGCTGAGTTGTTTGGTTTCCATTGTTGACATACTCACCCTTAACTGAATTGATTGAGCTGAATTCATATGAGCAAGGGGTTGATAAAAGGAGGAAATCAGTCTTACTGTTCAGTCTTACTGCTGAAGTGCCTGAGACCTTTCAGAATAGGGATCCATTCTGAAAAGCAGCATCTCTTTCATTTGACAATCCTGATGACCCTGCTTCTGCCTCGCCATCCACAATGACATGTGCTTTCCCTATGTTCTTAAACTGTGTGTGCTTATTAATCCCTATACTCATTTCCCACCATCCTTTATGTTAATTTAGGGGACACACTATTTCTTCACTGTTCTTACTGTCACTGTTCAGGACAGTGTGTGCATTTGGTTGATAGCAGGGTACCCATGTGTTTACACAAGCATGGCGTACAGCATCTGATTATATACAGGAGCTGAATTCGCTGTGCATCAGGTCACTAGAGAAGCATACTTCTGTACCAGTCACTGTTAGGCCTCAAACCTAACAAAGGTGATGTGTCAGAAAAAAAAATGTGCAAGAAGGGCAACAGTACAGCCCAGGTTTGTTACCTTGCTTTTGACATGTAATCCCACATATGTTAGCTGTTGTAGATTTGAACAACTTGGGACATATTGGGGTGGAGGCCCTCTAAACCCCCAGTGAGATAAAACTAGTTCCATTTAATGTCTTAAACACTTATTTTATTTTTGTAAAGAGTAGGAACTTACTTTTCTTTTTCTTTTTTTATTTTATTGAACTTTTTTAAACTTGTGACATAATAAGATGGAAGCAAACAAAATAATATGATTAAAAAAATAAGACATGTAGGGGTTTGGGGTTTTTTTGCCATTGCTGCAGCTGTATTTTCTTTAACAGTCCACCCCAAACCAAAATGCTGTGTTCCCCTGGAAAGGGACAATAATTCCTTTTTTGGTTCTATGATATGCCATGGAATGTATCCTCTTAGAAGCAAGGACCTATGGCTCTGTGGCATTAGTGGGGTTAAGACCTAGCTACAGGACAGCCACAAGAAAAGGAGTTTCCAGACCTTTGAAGTAAGTAATATTCTTGGGGCAACAGTTCCAAAGAGAAGCTGAAGGAGGTAGTGAGGAAAGTGAGAGGGAGAAGAAGATGCAATGCAAGAAGGAGTGGTTGCAACACTGGAACTTAGCTGGAAAGATAAAGGTGATCTGAGAGAAAAACATGAATCTGTGGAAGCACTGTCATGCAGAAATATCTTTCCTCTCTGATAATGTAGTTGCTTCAAACATTTGGAATCTCAGAGCATGAAGGCTGTAGTTGGGCCCAGTTTTGTCCTTCCTGACAGAAGCACTGCAGAGGCTCTACAGATGCAGTAGAAGGAGAGCAGTGAAATTTTGATGGATGAATTGCACATTTTGAACAGTTCAAGCAAGCTAGGGATTCCTTCTGCATTTATAATACCTGAATCTGCTACTTTTCTTAAGAAGGTTCCACTAGGGGGCAACTAACTATCCATCTCTGTACTTGTGAACCAAACTTAGAGAGCGTAAACTACTGCTTTTGTGGAAATTTTTGTAATTGAAGACTTTTTAATTGGTAGAAATAATTAGGGGGAGGGGGAAGAAGAGAGAAGTGGTGTTCATTACAATTTGCTTGTCAGTTGTACAATATATTTGCAACTGCATCAAACGAGCAGCCATGTGGAAGTATGTAGTTGGGACTCAAAGCTTGTTTAGAATTTGCTGTGTTAAACAAAAGTGCTCAGAATCTGAAGCTGTTTTGTAGATGTGAAACTAAACAGAAAAAAACCAAGCAAACAAAAAAACCCAGCCCTAAATCATTAATATGCTTTTGAGATTTATTGGGTAATAAATATGTAATGCCATACTTAGTGCCATGGAGGGTGCACTGGGTTCACTCATTCAGCTGTGAAAGATATAGAATATTAAAATCCACTCTTTGCCAGAGAATTAATTAAGAATGAGTAGACTCTGCATAGGTTGTACGGTTTGAAATAACTTGGGATTTATGTGGACTTCTTGATATATTGCAGGTTCTTCAGCAAAAGCACTTGTGAGCTTGAAAGGTAAGAAATTAATGTGTCATTTACTTGTACCCAATCTGACTTTTAGGTGTACTTAGTTTCTGGCTTCAAAAAGTTCAAGAAAATAACACTGAAGAGGGTTTTTTGTTGAAATATGATTGGTTTTATTGTGGATATTTGCTAGTTCTGTAGACTAATAATCCTTGGTGCTTGAAACTACGTATGTTGTGGTGTGTTTAGACACTGTTTTTCTGGGTGAAATTCCTGAAATGTGTTTATTCTTCCTAAGTACTGCCTAGGCGTCAGATTTGATGAGAAGATTGAGGTAATCTTTGCTCTCTTGAGGACAAGATAGGAGAAGGATTCTTAGCGAGATCTGTACATGTGACAAAATTTACATTGGGAAGGAATTTCACAGTCTCATTGTGTTTTCTGTCAGCAAGCTGTGGGCTAAATAAAAAAAATCTTTTTCTTACATCTCTTTCATTGAAATTGTCTTCAAAAACATCCATACAAATTTTGAATACTTATAATCTGCCCAATAATAATATTTTCTTTATATATTACAAGGCTTCTATTACACAATGAAGAAGACTGTTGAATGTGTCTGTTGAATATGTTGTAACTAATATTGGGGGTTTTTTCAGTAAAAATTTATTTACTTCTTGTTGTGCACCCATTTAACCATTTTTTTTTAGAACCAGAAGGAGGCCAGGTCTTGTAGAGCTTTACCTTGTCCAGGTTTCAGTTACGATGTATGTCAACCAGGCAGTGGAAGTAACTGGTTCCAGTAAAGGAGATTTCAAGAAATCTAAATATTGCCAGAAGCAAAAAATGTTTTCTTCAGTGAAAATATTTTTCAATTGTTTTAATTAGTGTTCTGAACAATTCAATAAAAATATTGAAATCTAAAATCCAACTGCAGTTGAGTCCAAAGATCAAATAACAAAATTATATTAATAGCTGATGGAGCTATACTAGCTTTTGGATAGTAGTTATGTTAAAACATAAATGTATGTATATGTATATTAATGACATAATTTCTTCATAACAGAGGGAAGCTTATCCAGTTCGTGGAATGAAAAGTATAATTCTTTGCAGAAAACACCCATTTGGAAAAGCAAGAATGCTGGTTCTGCAGTGGAAATGGTAAGAAGCGATAAAAGACAACTTTGGGTTTGGTAAAATACCATAAAGTGAATCAAATTTAAGGATCAAAAAATCTGGCTGAGATTTATAGTTTCATAATTTCCAAATGTTAAACTATGTCCCTCATAAGCTATCTACACAGTTGGAATAGGAGATGAAAATCTATTTTATAAATTAATAATCAAACAAATTGCTGAACTTGTTCAAGATAGCTTTGTAAGCATTTTCTCTCCTTTTTGGTAAAGCAAGCGCTGTGTGAAATGTTTGTACTGTATCTACCAACTTGAACTTAGCAATCGCCATTTCTGATCAACCATTTGTTCTATCGTGAAATTTGTCACTTCTAATTGTGGCTGAGAACTGATGTGTAAAGCAAAGGAAGGGAAAATGTCATAGTGCACTTCCTTCATTGTGCCTTCTGGGGGACAAATTTAATGGAAATAAAGGAATGTCAGTGAAATGTGTAGTGTTCTGAGTGGTCTCACAGGAGACCTTATGTTAAAGAACAGCCTTGGCGTGGGAAATGAAAGGTAATGAGCCTGAAGCCTCCAAGGGCATGTCTGTTGTTTGGGTTGACCATTTCTCTCTCTTTTTGAAATATTTTGTTTTTCTTTCCCCATTGTATCACGTTCAGGCTTTTGTTGACTATTCTCAACCTCCTCTACCTTACTGAATTAGGTGACTTTTGGTTTGGCTTTGCTACCAGCCATATTGCACCCAGTATCTTGTTTGTCCACATCTGTAATACTGTGTGCTCTTTTTACTACACCCTGGGGAGCATATACTGTCTCAATTGCTGTGTAGATCTTTCTCCCATAGTCTTCTGATGCCACCTTCTTCTACAGTAATTACAACCAACTATCACCTGTTTTTTGTTCAAATTGTTATTTTTTTGTGGACTGTTTGTTTATTGGAAATGAAACATTGTTTGAAAACTATTGCACTTGCCTCCTGTGCACATAATCAAAATATCTGAGTAGCATCCAGTGGTGCATTAAGCAACGTGACTAACATCTGCTGTATGTAGCTTGTTTTGTGATCTCCCTGTAGAGAGAAACTTACAGAGAAGGTATTTATTTTGATTCACGCAGATATATATACACACACATGTTGCTCTGTGTTTGTTAAACAACATAAGGTCTACAAAATGCAGTTCCAGACAGTGACCAGAACTTTGGCCCTTAGCTCCTGCAGGAGTTCATGTCACAGTTCTCAGCTGTTCCCCAGGAATGCTCATCTTCTCACAGAAACAAGCCTTACTCGTAACGTAGAAGATCACATATGCTAAAGAATCAAAGTCACTAGCCATAACGTTTGTACAAAAATTTTGTCTATCTTTAGGTATGCTGGCTGTAGGTATTAAAACTAAGGGGTCAAACTCTGGATATAGCTTGGTATTCTGTAGAAAGCTAGGAGAAAGATCAGAGGATAATCTGATGTTGTGTTAGTAGTGGCCCACGTTGCTGAGACGTAACGTAGTCTTCTGTATTAGTCTTGAGTTCCCCGAACACTGAAGGTTTTGCAGGTATGTTACACTATTGACTGAAAAATCTTCCCAAAAATGCCTGACCTGTTTGGCCAACATGGATGATACCTCTTTGCGATTCTTATTTTATTCTCATGTGAGGCACTGGCAATCCAGACTGATGAAACACTCCTATCATTTTAGATAGTTCCTTGGAATAGAATTTTGCAGCTTCTGTTGCGGTTGCAAAACGGTTCTCTTGATCTGGATTGTAGCCTTAGCATAAGGTTGACGGAACTCTTAACTTTTGTCTAGTTGGTTTTAGTGTTTGTGTTCTCCGTTGGCATGTGCTTTTCATCTGGTATAGTGTCATAAAATCAAGAAGAACTATATGGACATTTGGAAGAAAAATGTTGTTCTGGAACCAGGGTTCAAATGTCAAGGCTAAAATATAATTTTTTTTTGGAACCTGGCTCTTCGTCCTGTGGGCAGAATGCTGTAATTAAAAAGTCCCGGAATTCTGCAATGTAAGAGTTTTTATTGTTAGAACAGGATTGTGGATTTGTTTTTTTACAAGTTAGAATAGTTCCGATTTTTCTTTTTTTAGGGTGATGGTTTATCAAGGATGGCACAGATATTATAAAAGAACAAAAAGACATTGTAATTGAAATTTAAGATTGTTCTTAAGGTTTAGTGAATTGGAAAATGTAAATTAAAGAACTCACTGTATCTAGATGAAGAACAAAAAACAATGTCCATGATAACTAATATGATAAACTAATTAATGTGTTAATATGATGTGGGCACCATTTAGTTACCTTGCCAGTATGTATTTCCTCTGCTCAGTGTGTGTATCTTTACATCTAGAAGGAACAGACGTTTTCTTCTGTGTCCTGAATGTGCTTAGGTGTCTAGCAGATACAGGGCGCTACTGTTACTTAAATACACTTGTGTATTTATATTTTTTAAATATGTATAATTTAAAGTAAGAAAGGTACATTTCCCGGGCAAAACTCCAGCTGTTCTCATGGGACAGACAGATTTTTTGCTACCACTAATTAGTTTAATAGAGAATCACTCACTTTAATCACTCACAAACTTATTAAATGTCTTTAAGTGTAAATGCTTATGAATTAAGTTTTATTTCACTTTGATTTCTTTTGTTTCTGACTCCTATTAAGGGAGTTGTAGTCAGTATTGTTCACATTGTGGATGTTACAGATTTCATACCCATATCAATTTGTACTGAAAGAAGTGAAATCTGCATTTATTCTGCCTTTACCATCACTTTTGTATATAGTTTGAAGTACGAGGAACCCTACAGGGTGCAGTCTCGGGATTCTGCAAAGGAGACATGTTTCAGTTGTGGCTGGCTCCTCTGCTGGGCCACAAAGTCTTCATAGAAGGGAAAGCTGCTTGCTCTCAGCACTAACAGCCAGTCATGGGTTACTCTCTTGTTCTCACTGAGAGCACAAGTTTTTTTTGTCATAGGATAAAATGTTGACAATTAATTAAATGGGAGTATTTTTTTTCATGACACATATTTGCAATATGGTTTCTTGTTTTCAATCAGCCTTCTAGTTCTCTTTGAGCGGTAATGTCTTAACACACAAGGAAATCTTAGCTAGCATAAATTCTAAATTCTTCTCTTATATTTTCACATAACCTATTCAAGCTTTAGTTTCTTCAGACTTCAGCTTCTTAGCATTTTGCAGTGTAGGCACTTATAATGAGTTAAAAAAACCAACCAAACAACAAACCAACCCACAGCACTTTATTAGACTCATAAGAAATCCTTGCAAAAAAAAATAAATATATATATATCCAGCTAATGTTGTTTCTGAGAACATACCAAAATAAATATGCTGTTTGAATAAACTTTTTTTGACCCAAAATTCTGAACAAACTGTTTAACAGATGTGCTTATAACCAAAGCAAGGACTATTTTAAGCTTAGATACACAAGTGTTTAGACACTTAACTCCACTGGAAACAAGTGGGAGTTAGGTTCTAAATACTTTCGTGGAACTAGGCCAGCAGTATAGTAATGGGTTATAGTTAGCATTGGAAAGCTTGGAATCTTAAATTCCTTCTTCTCTTCTCTCAGCCCTTAGATCTGTAACTGCCAGGAGGCACTATTTGTTGTGTACCTTGTGCCTTAAAATCAATAAGTGGCAAGAGAAAAGGCATTCCATTTCTCACTGTCAATTCTGTGCATGAACAGAGAAATCAGATTTTTCTTGTTCTTGTGATTCATTCTTAATTTTGATACATGCAGCCCTTCAGAAATTCAAAACGGAGTCGACTCTTCTGTGAAGAAGACGACAGACAAATAAACACAAGGTCACCCAAAAGAAATCAGAAGGTTGCGATGGTTCCACAGGTACCTACATGTATGCAGATATTTTTACCAAAAAGGGGAACAAGCCTATCTGTGTTAGTTGAAAATTAGAATATATTTGCTTTGCAAGTTGTATTATCAGCTTATGAATATTCTTGTGAGGAAAGCTGTTGCTAGGAGTAAGCCACAATTAAAAACCGATTTATATTTTTCTTCCTCACAACTGGGCTCCTCGGTTTGTTTATGGGAGCGCTTGTTCTTTTTGATCCTGGACATAAGCATACAGAGCTAGAAAAGATTCCAGGTTAACTGCCCATCTTGCTCCTGCAAACATCTGTATCCTGTAGTCTGCATAAGTTTATTCAGCTTCGGTTAAAAACTGACTAGGTTTCTTGTACTGACTACATCATTTAGAAGGCTGCTGTAGAACTTCATATATTCCAACTGTTAGGAACTTGCTCTAGATTTGTAGCCTGAATGTATTCATGGCCACCTATACCTTCTTGATCCTGTAATGGTAATGTTCTCTAATTCAAACAGCTTGTTTTTCTACTTCTCCACTTGACTGTCTTCTCCTTGATAGATCATGAAAGAGCAGGTGTAATTTCTCTCAGCCTTTAGTTGCTATGTTGGACAGGGCAACATCTCTTAGTCTCAAAGAACTGGCTCTCTAGTACCTTTGTCATCCAAATCATTTCACTGTACTATCACCTTGTAAGCCTGAATTTGCCACACTGAAAAAGTACTGTTTGAATACTGGTCTTACTTGCCTTCTGTGCTGTATCGCATGGGGAAGACTTAACAGCTGCCATTTTGCTGGGTCCATTTTGTCAGAGATGAGAACCATGACGTTTCTCTATTCATTACCATGATTTTCTAACAGTAGAAAGGCATGGATAATGTTCTACGCCCAGTTGGTTTGTACTTAAATGTCAGGTTCAGGAGGTCCAGTGATTGCTAGATAAGCATTTGTGAGGGACTGCAGCTGCCATAGCTCACAGATCTTGCTGTCCTGCTGAGCTTTGTTTCCTGGAGTTTCTGTGGGAGAAAGGGGATCTGTATCTAGAAGGCAGTGGTTAAGTGCTGCAGGAGCCAGCAAGGTGCCTACCTTATGCTTTATCCTATTATTGCTGCTACTAAAGGTCAAAATACTTTTGAGTGTTTTGGGAAGGGTAGAAACTGATGATGGCATGGGGACCCAGTTAAACTAATATTCTCAAAACACTGTTTTTTAGCAAATAAGTTTTTCTTTGTCAGTTAAGACAGCCATCCCTGGAACAAAATTACAGAAGTATTTTTCTACAGTCTTGTTTAAACGCAGGTCTATGTATTATGTATGCAATCCAAGTTTCTTTTCTGCAATTTATAAAATAGCTGTCAAATGTAGTTAAAGCTTGCTAGCTTATGTCCATGCTAGTTTCTCTTGCAGTTTTCTAAAAAGCAGACACAGCTCAGAGTTTGGGCCGTATTACGTTCCTGTGCTAGCTTCATCCTCAGTTTAAGAAGAGTTAAGAAGACAGTTAAGAAGAGTGGTGTCTCAGACTTCTGAAATCTGTGTGTACTTCAGTGCCATGCTATTGTGACCAACAGTGTAGTTTCAGTGTTGAAAATGTTTCTGTTAAAAGTGCTTTGTATAGAGATAATTTGTTGTATTGATCCTGCTAATATTTGCCATCTGTTATGCTTGATTGCATTGCTGATGTAACACAGTGAGGATTATTATAGATCTGCAACAATGAATTGTCATGAAACAGTATGTGCGGTTAATATATAACAATTTTTAATGTGCAAACTTTTATCAAGAAAATCTAGTTTAATTATTTGAATATTGATGAATGGTAGACTGTTTATGACTGTTTCCTTTATTTTACTACATAGAAGTTTAATACAGCAATGTCAACACCAGACAAGAAGGCATCACAGAAGATTGGTTTACGGCTTCGTAACCTGCTCAAACTTCCCAAAGCTCACAAGTGGTGCATATATGAATGGTTCTATTCAAATATCGATAAGTATGTTTGTTCTGTATAATTATCTCTTATTAGTATAGAAAAAACTCGTTTTCTGAAATTCAGCTGCAAATTTCCATATATTGGTTAGATATTACGAAGTTTTTTCTTAAATTATTAGTTATTGAAAATGATTTCGTTGTTTTGCTTGGGTTTTCTTTGTGGTTTTTGTTTTTTTCTTTTTTTACAATGAGCAACCTACTCAGGTAGTTCCTTGGGTGGCCTTCTGTGGAAGGCCTTCTTTTTGCCTCTGCCTCTCCCAGATACCAGAGTTTATTCATAACCTTTTTAGCACCTTAAGCATGAAGTTATCAGAACACTTAGACTTTTTAGAACCGTTGGATCAGTCTTACACACAGGGGTTGGGAAGGAGACTGCTTCTTCATAAGATGCTGCTTCCCTGAAAGGTGTAGATGTTGATTTTGGATATTTCTTCCTCATCATTCTGTTTTTATTGTGATCACTAGCAGAGCTCCAGGTTGGGACTATTCAGCTGTTGTCTAGATATCAGTGTCCTTCTTGGATCTCCTAATCTGTCGCCTAGACTGTTTCTACAACTTGTGCCTCAGAGTCTTTGGCACTTGTTCTCTTAATGCCACTAGCAAGATGGTGTGAATTGTTTAAAAGAAGCATTTTAATTTAGTCCCTAGTCATGAAAAACTAAAAATTCTGAAATGTAAAAAGCATTATTGACTAATGGAATCTTAAAATCTGCACTGACTGGCTAATGGATGAAACACTGGCATTTAATATTCTAAAGACTGGCTTCAGAGTTAACAAGCATTCTTTTCCAGGATTTATTCATAACAAAATAATTACTGTTTTTCCTTCCTATTTTAATCACAATTGCTGTGGCTGTCCTCCTTAACTGAGAAGGAAGTCATAGCAACAGAAAAACCTTTTAGGATATGTTATCACAAGTAGAAAATTGTATGTCCATTTTAGTTAGTTTTAAATTTATCATCTGTAGGATTTAATTCATTTGAAAGAAGTCGTCTTTACATTATTTATGCCCCCTTATTTGAAAAAAACCCAACAAAACCAAAACACAAAAAACCCCCAAACCCTACTTATTCCTCATAGTATTTTTAATATGTGACATTTATAATTATGGGTTTTTTATAACAGTCCAAGAACTTTTAGTTCATTCTCAGATAATTATCTGTGAAACTTTAGGTCTTTCAATAGACTAGAATTTGAGTTGAGCAGGCAATTCTGAAAACCTCTTTGATAGTTGTCAATGTAGGCTTGTAATGCTAGTAAGATATGATAATCTTAAGATGTTATAGTTTGCTAAGAAACTACATATCGTTGGAAGAAAAACTTTGATGTATATTGTTTTGAGTGATATGATCTAGACTTAATGAGAAGCTTAACAAAGTTTAAAGCATAGAGCTAACTGTCAACTGACAAAATATGGCTCACTGTACAAGTCTCAAAATATTTTAATTGAGTTGTCTCATCCGGAATTGAAATAATCAATTTAAATGCCATGTCTACTATTAGTTTTTGAAATATTTTAATGTCTACAACTGTCATCTGTGGTTATTAGATTACTGAAGCTGTTTCAGTTGGATTCTTTCTGTGGTGCTGCAGAGGACTGTATTCTGTAAAATCCCTTTGACTTCTGACATGCAGAGACCTCTAAAGGGCTTCTTACTGCTACAGAGATCATAGGCCCTCACAACCAGATGTACTTGGCTTATGTAATTTCCCAGAGCTTCCAATCTTGTGAATGCTGTGAGTTTAGTTTGCCTGCTTAGAGGCAAGTGATAGTAAAACAAATCAAATACAGATTATTTCTCAAAAAAAAAAACCAGCAAACCCAAACTGTTGTTCTTTGCACAGATATCACATTAATGACAGTAAATCAGGATAAAGTAAAACTCTTACACACTTCCTTGGCTGTTTCCTGAGCTTCATTGATCATTCTTTGTGGTTTCCTTTTCACTTCATGGCATGGCTGCAGATCCTTCTACTGCAAAAATATTCTCTTCTCTTCTTGCCTGTCCATGCACCTTCTCTCTCTCCTGCCACTCCACACGCTTACTTGAAAGAGGTGTTCCTTCCAAGATCCACTTTGTTCTGTGCTTGGGAATATTCCTTTCTATACCCCTATGCCCTGCAGAGAGTAGAGAAAAGTGGCTTTACCTAGGACGCAGTTATTCTTTTGTTCTCAGCAGGTGAGATCTATTTCAGTTGCACATAGTCTTTAATAATTAACTTGCTATAAGACAGGCATACCCATTGCTGCTCCCTTGTCTCTTCAGCCCAAGAAGAATGTAGTACTACAAAGTAAAAGGCAGTCATAAAACACAGAGATACAGACAGGTCATAGCATCAAAGAGAAAATCTTAAGTTGTGTAGGTAGGTTCTCTGAACTGTCACTTCTATAGTACTGGTCCTCTGCTTCATCATGGAGTCACAGTACGATACAATAAAATTCTCACCTGTATAGCTGTGGAGAATGACAAGTTGGCTCCATTTCCTGTATTTTGGAACCCTCTGTTGAGAATTTGGGTTATAATAGAATGAATTTATGAAAAAGGTACCCTCTTTCTATTTCTCAGGATCACATCCTCCCTTCCTTTATTCTCAGTACTTCACCATATCTTTATGGTTTCCTTCAGTGTCTTGCAGTATCCTTATGACATTGCATTGGCTTTGCTGAAGTTTCATTTGGTGCCTTTATGCACATTACAAAGCAGGATGAATACATGTGCTTCCCTGTAGTAACAAGAGAGAGGAACATTTTTAAACATCACTGATAGTAAGGCTCAAACAGAACAGTCCTGGAAACTTTCTGTCTTTGTTTTCATTTGAATTTATTTTGAGTTAAATTTCTCCTTTGAGTAGGAGTGTCTTGTTTATAATGACTAACTTATAAATTTTGTATTCAATGTATTTCTTACTATGGATGTTTTTTGGTATCTCATGACAAAAGTTTACTAAGTGTAGTTAAAAGACAACCAATTATGTTTCAACAGACCACTATTTGAAGGAGATAATGACTTCTGTGTATGCCTGAAAGAATCTTTTCCAAATTTGAAAACCAGAAAACTGACAAGAGTAGAGTGGGGGAAAATCAGACGATTAATGGGAAAACCACGGAGGTAATTTTGTTTCTATCTGTTTTTCTTTAAAATAACTATATGTAGTTTTGATGTTACTGGAATTGTTTCTTCTAAAATAACTTTGTATGCAGGTAGTAAAGCAAAATAGTAGCTGAGAGTAGAAGAACATTTTATTGAATAGGTGTTCAAGTTTGGTTTTTTTCTGGCTATAACTAGCTTATCATGGGGAAAACTAGTGCACAAAATAACATTCTTTTTTTTTTTTTTAACCATTTTATAGATCCTCAGCTTTTCCTGACCTGGCTGCCAAAGCAGAGAAGAAAGTCACTCCTAAAATATTGTACATTATAGAGAAAAAGCCAGAATTTAATGAAGGGTATAGTTTTTTCCTCTAGTTTAGGATTCTTAACTCTTAAACACACTGATTCAGTTCATCCTGTACAATCTAGCCTAGGGAAGAGAAGGCTCAGGGAGGCTTGCATCTCTGTGTATAAATATCTGAAGAGAAGGCACAGAGAAGACGATTTTTCCAGTGTTGCTTGGAGACAGGACAAGAGGCAATGGGCACAAGCTGAAACACACAGGCAGTTCAGCCTTAACGTAACGAAACATCTCTTTTGACTGTGAAGGTGCACAGGTTCCCCAGAGAGGTGGTAGAATCTCCATCCTTATTGATACTCAAAGGCAGTATGGACATGGTCCTGGGCAGCCTCCTGTAGGTGACTCTGCTGAATGGGTTGGAGTAGATGACCTCCAGAGGTCCCTCCTAAGCTCAGCCGTCTTGTCACTGTGTAAGATCAGGAAAAAAAATATGTAAGTAGTGCTGCAGAAATAAGACTGGTTTGTTGATGAAAATTCAGATGCTAAAGCACTGAATTAATTTCACAGATCACTGTACTGAGTCAGATTATATTTTGTCTGATGGAGGCTATTTCATCTTCTGTACCTTCTGTAAACAACTTTACATAACTAAAAATTGCTAGTCAAGGTAAGGAAGCACAGCCAGCTTAAAAATATTTCCTTTTGGAAAGGTGTTCATGTCATTTGAGCTTAGCTAAGAGAGCTTTTTGTTCCTCTATCATCATGCTTCCCACTGAAAGGGAGATGGTGTATTTGGAGGTTAAGTCATCACTTATTCATTTGACTTTTGCCAAATGTGGGTACACAAAAGATCAGTTTGCCTCATTCAGCCGTCTGTTGGACCATTGCTGGACTTCCTTTTTTGTAGGGGACGAGGTGGAAAGGGTAGGGAGAAGGTGGTGTTGGTTTTGGTTTGGGTTTATTAAGTTGTCAAGACCATTAGTTTTTTAAAAGGAGACTCATGCCTGAGGAACTACAGAAAGTTGTTTGATCTGAATTCTGAAGTACAAGTACTTGACTGGATAAAGAGTCTTGTTTTGTTTGTTAACCAAAACTTTACTAGTTCTTGCTTTTTATCAACATAAAATAAGCATTCTTGTTTGGTTTTGATTTCTTTAATACTTTAAAAAAAACCAAACAAACCAAACACATGTATTGGTATCTTTTCTTATGTCTGCTGCTATTTTAAGTGTCCTATCACACCATCAACAGTGTGGTTGGTTGTCACAACTGTATTCTTCATGGGAGCCTGCAAAGCTTGTAAGATTCCAGTAGACTGGGGGGAAAGATATGCTCCAAGAAAAGGAAGAGGTAATAGTTCGTCTTGTGCACTCTATATAAACTAAATTGGGGTTGTGAAATAGCAATGGATATGAATTAAGCTCAGTTATGTTTGTCCTGCCACTATATGATGGTGATGATTCCTCTTGTTAGTTCAAATACTCATGACTAAGGCAGAAACTGAGAAGAATGTTCAGCCTCTTAAAAGGTCTCTGCAGAAAACCAATGAGGTTGCAATGTGATCTGTACCACAGTTTTAATCTTCCATTTTTTTGTAGGAAAGGTACAATGAAGGGATAATCTTTATTAAATACGTTTGGGGAACGTGGGGTTGGAGATTTCCTTTAACATAAGCCAGAAATATGTTGCAAATACTTTCCACATCCATGACCTACAGCATTCAGAACAGAGACTTTTTAAGAACATCTGAGCTAGCAGTAAAACAGTAGTTGCTGTTGTAGGGACCTCCGAAGTCAGTGATTAATATATCAGCATTTGAATTTGTATTTCTAAGAGCATGAGTCAAAGAACATCTGATGTTCCTAATGCAAGACCCTGGACATGATTAGAAGGTCTAATATTGAAGTCCTATATTGCTTTTTTCCAGGGTTTTTTTTTGGTCTCACTGTGATTAGTCACTCTGTTCTCCTCAATGGAATTTAAAAGCTCTGACCTCTGTTTTGCTACTTCATATTCATAGCCCATAGCATTATTTCACACTTGTTCCACCCTTGCAGTAAATATGAAGTAAACAGCATCTTTAAATGAGACTATCCAAATAAGCTTTGCTTAAGTCTCCCAACCACCATTACTCTCTCTCTCTCTCTCTCTCTCTCTCTCTCTGCCGTATCCTCTTCCACATGTTTTTAATTCCTTGTGAGGATTATTATGCAATGCACAACTCCAGGTAAATGCATTCTGCTCTTCAGTGGTAAACTGGTGAGTGGGTCATGCATCTACAGTTGCTCCATCTACAACTCAGTTTCTAGATTATACAAAGACTAGTGATGACTTTTGAAGTGACAGCGATTGGAAAGCCTATTAAAAGAACCTTGGATGCAGTGTGTTACTCCACGTACCCAACAAAAGTACATCACAGCTTCAGTTCATTCATGTTCTGTTTAAGATCTCATTGTGTTAACGCTGTACACACTGGACAAAACAGATTATCTATATAACTTAGAAACTATGTATAAGATAAAAGGCAAATGATCTATACATACAGACAAACAAGTGTGGAACTGCTGGTCAGAATGAAAGGAAGTGGTCTCAGCATCCTAGCAGCTTAGTTCTCATGATTTAGTTCTTATCTTCTCATGCACATTGCAGGGAAGATAGATTTTGGAGAATAGTGAAATGGCTTTCTGGAATTCTTCAAGTGAGGGATATGCAGAAGAAAACATAAGAATGTTTATTTCTGCATAAAATAAGAGAGTAGTAGAAGCAGACTTGGAAATAGGAGCTGACTGCTCAGTACTGAGTGACATAAAAAACTTATGAAGACCTTGAAGTGATTTAAAACAGAAAATAATTTGCAGTGTAGAAGGGGGAAACCAGCAGAGGACTTGTCAGTGTCTTCTAAAATAACCTTGTAAAGTATGACTTACTATTGATCAGTAATCAATATATAACTGTATGAGTTCTACAGAAAATGTTTAAATTGCATTTGACTGCAGTAAAGCAATTAACAAAGGTAGTAAATTATTTCATAAATAACTGCTTCTGCAGTTAAGCAGACCTACAATAGCATCTGTATTACTTTTTTTAAAATTACTTCTTTCATTGACACAAGAATGATAAAATGTTTTTTACTAAGGAATGAGAGATAGGATCAAGTCCTTAATGTCTTTATACTTTCAGTCTACCTCATGTACCATGCCTATTCAGTAGGCTAAAAGTAAAAATTAATAAAACCAAGTAAGGACCTAGGGAGTAAGTCTTCCATCTTTTAGACTGTTTTAAGAAACACACAACCCCAGAATGGGGAAGGGGACTTCTAGAGATTATCTGATTTTACGCAATAGCCCAAGTTCAAACAAATTTGTACTTTTACTATGATCAATCTTAGAACAATTCATCTGCATAACACAGTAAGTCCACCTTACAAGCATTGAACTGGTAATCAGAGTAGACTGGATGTGGGACATGCGTTAGCTTTCTTGTGACACCAGGTGGATCCCTATAAGCAGAAAAAGTCCTGAAAGTTATATTCTTCTGTTATAATAATGCAGCAGCTAGCATCCCTGAGTATTACTTTTAAATAAACTGTTATTTTAGGGGTGATAATTCTGTGGAAGAATTAAGACTGTCTCAATCAGTTCAACAAACTTCTTTTCTCTTGAACACTTCAGCCTTTTCATTTTTCTCTTACTGATTTGTAAGCTATGCCTATTTATTTGATGTGTCTTCATATATGTATGTTTTCAGTGCTGAATTTAAATATAGTTTTATCTCATTGTATTATAGGTGTTCTTCTGCATTCTTTGAGGAAGAGAGATCAGCATTAAAACAGAAACGGCAGAAAATAAGACTTTTGCAGCAGCGGAAAGTTGCAGATATTTCACAGTTTAAAGATCTTCCAGAAGAAATTCCATTACCACTTGTAATAGGAACAAAAGTTACAGGTAATTTCTTAAACAAACACACACCCAAATGTTTTGCACAGATTTCAGTAAACCATAATATATTTCATGCATATAATTTGAAATAAATTTAAAACATTAAAAAAATATATTTTTTTAATTGCTAGATCATTGAGAAGATGCTTGTGAGGATTAGCTAGTATTTTTTAAACAGTGAGTCAGTTTCGAGGTACAAACCTTAGTATGACTTATTATTTCTGCTGTTCAAATTGTAGTGTTTTTTTTTTTTAATGTCTAGTATATCTAACAAATCTTGGAGGGTTGCTTAAATGCAAAGAGCCAAGTGCTATCTGAAAGTTTAAAATAACCTAATATAAAACTTGGGCTTTATTTTTCTGCAAATACAAGAATACTTGTTTTGAAATGGATATACTATTGATATTGCAGTGTAGTTGGACACACATACTAAACATGGCATTGCCTCCTTACACATAACTGAGGAAGGAGTATTGTTAAAAACATTGTACAATTTTTATCTAATTTTATTAAAACTTGCAGTCCTTCATCCTGTCTGTGATCTGGATGCTTTTCACTTAAGCGTGGTAGCTCTCACTCAGGCCACTACTGTTCATTGCTTTTTGCATTCTTCAACAACACTGCTCTTAATTCTCGCTGAAGAGCAGGCTTGCACAGCACAGCCTCTCTTCACTCTCCTGCAGCTGTGTCCTTAAGCTGTGTTCCTCATTGTCTTGTGCCAAATACACAGTCATCAGTGGAAGTGATCAAAGAGAAGTGGTATGCAAACTTATCCAGGAACTGACTTTTGCAAAATCTCAGTCAGAAGGTATTGGGTATCAAATTGGGTGTTTTATTTAGACATTAGCATAGTACTAAGGATAAGATTTGGAAAATACTTGACTTGCAAAGATAAATTTGAGTAGTATTTCTATTGCATATAATTTTTTTTCTGGTTTTACTTTTTTTTTTATTTTATCTGTGGGTTTTAAATATACATATAAAGGGTTACTTACAAAAGATGTCAAGTCTGTTTTTTCCTCAATGGTATCAGGACATTATAATGTTTTGGGTTTTTTTGTTTGTGTTTTTTTTAAGCACGTTTGCGAGGCATCCATGATGGCTTATTCACTGGACAAATAGATGCTGTAGACACTCTTAATGCTACATACAGAGTGACTTTTGACAGGGCAGGTCTTGGAACACACACAGTCCCAGATTATGAAGTTCTTGTAAGTATTAACGACACATTCTTAAAATTGCTGTAATAAAAAATAAAATCAACTCATCTACAATTGTATGCTTTAATTGAAAGGAGGAAAATTCAAAATATTACATCCAGGTGATATTTTCATAAAGTAGAAACAGGCATAACAGATGCATGGGAAATTCCAGGGGAATGAGCTTCTACTGTTTATGGTTTTATAGAACAGGATAACCCTCTATGATGAAAATATAATGGCTCAGGCTGGAATTATTTCCTAGAACTACTATTATAGGTTATTAAAATAGTCTGAGTTTAATATGAAGAAATATAACAAGTAGTGTAAGATCACAAAGAAAATTGTGATATGGGATCCTGGCAGGATTTGCAGAAAGTGTTCCGGAAAACCTGGCCCTTTCTTAGTTGCAAGCAAGTATTATGAATTGATTAAACCTCATTTTGAAAATTCTTACAGTAATGAAGCTACCTCTGGGGATGTCGCATTGAACAAACAATTTGGGATTATTTCCTAGCTCATAGGCTTTTGTACCAATTTCTGAGCTCCAGGAATTGGTCCTGCCAAACAGCCTGACCTATACTGCGAGGTTTTCAAGAGAACCTCGTGTTCTTTTGTATCTTGGTGTTGAATCTACTAAGGGCCCCTAATTTGTCTAGTCTCTGTCATGATCTGAGTTTGGAGCCTCTGTTGAATTCCTGTTCAGTCATGATTTGTCTGCAACTTGCCAATAGAATTTTTGGAAATATTCTTGCAGGTTTTATTTGATGTGGTGCCATAACGCTTTGAAAACTCCAGCAATGGAATATGATTTTGAAGCTCCTGCTAGCCCAAAAGTAAAACATTAATCTTTTAACATTGTTAGGTTGGGGCATGGATGGACATGGCCAGTCCAGATTCCAGAAATAAATTATGTATTCCAGAAAGTGTGTAAAATTACTCTTACAGCTGCAATATACTTTTTTCCCCCTGACTTACAGAGTAATGAGCCTCATGAAACCATGCCAATTGCTGCCTTTGGACAGAAACAACGGCCTTCAAGATTCTTTATGACCCCTCCCCGATTGCATTATACACCGTCACTCCAATCTCCAATTACAGTAAGTTACTTTTTTCATGCAATACTATTTTTTTCATGCATTGAAATATTTTCTGATACGTGTTACCTTAAACAGTTTTGAGATTGATTTTCCCAGGTTATTCAGCAAGATTGGAAAAAGATCAAAAAAAAATAAAAAAAGGAAATCCTTCTAAAAATAAATTACTAAATTAAATGTTCTTTCCTGTATAGGACAGTGATCCTTTATTAGGACAATCTTCATGGAAAAACAAAATTTCAGGCACAGATAGTGAAACATTAGGAGGCTTTCCAGTAGAATTCCTCATTCAAGTGGTAAGTGTCAACTGCAACTCTTAAATTTGTTGTGTATTGTCCCTTTGTGTTTAGTCTGCCAGTTCTTCTGTGGTTAAAGGATCTTTTATTGATTAATGACAGAAATGGTGATACCTAAACTAACTTTTTGAAAGATGTTAGTAATACTTGGTTTTATCCCCTCCGCCTTTCTTTTTCTCACTTGTTCATAAGCTTTGAAATATATTTCCCTTCAGATGACAGGAGGGGCTTATGTCTCCAAAAGTCTGTCTCATTTTTCTTAGCTCTACCACTTGGTCTGAAAAGAGAGACATTATTTCTACCTGCAAACTTTGTACTGTGTTCAGACTTTTTTTTTTCCCTTTATTTTTCTAATTTAAAGTATTCTTGCATTATGCAAAGAACACTTGCCCGTGTGCATTATAAGTTGTATAGCATAGTAATTTATGTTATGCAATGTCCTACCCTCTTGGAGAGAAAAGACTCTTTTCCCTGAAGGCAAACATACGTGTTATAGATAAGAAAACTGTTTTTTGCCTTCATCTTTATGAAACAATTCCTCAGTGATTTTTGTACACCAGTTCAGAAGAGCCCAGACAAGTAATGTTAGGAAGCTGAGATTCATTGAATATCAGAACTCATCGAAGCAAGTTACTTTTCAGGATGATGGAAGAATGTAATTGCTCATGTTGGCTTAGCTTGAGACCTGTGATTGAATTCTTTAGCGATGAAAGTTGTTTTGAACAAACTAAAGTAAATTGGAATTATGTGTGTTTAAAATATTATGAACTGAGAAACTGTTACACGCTTCTCAAATTTTCAAGTGTATGTAATTGGTTAAAAGAATCAAGTTGTGTCTAGCTCATGTGAGAGACTAATATTTTGATCATTCAACATAATGACCTTTTTTTTTGACAGAACAATCAATTCCGTTTTTTAGGGGAAACTTATTGTATGAAGCTGATTTTGAAAAACATTGCCTGGCATCTACCTTGGCTAAGAAAATATAAAATAGATGTAGTTGCTCTAAGATTAATCATGTTAAAAAATATATATACACAAAAGATACGGTCTTTATTTATGCTGCTAAACTGTATCTACAGTGAATCCTCCTACCTGAATCACTGAGTGTGACCAATGAAATTGAATAACTAAGGTATATTGAGCTTTACAACTATTTACTGTGTCAAGTTGATCTGTTTATGATATTGTTTCTGTATTTTAAATCTGAAAATGTGTGATTTCTCAGTCACATTTGGTGGTATATTATTACTCATTATAAGGAAAACTGAGTTAAAAGTATAGGCCTCTTACTTGTGTTAGAAATGGTGGCATTTTATAAAGATACTGCAATGTTACGTATTTTTTCTTGGAGTCTGTCAAAAGATTTTTAGCAAAATCAAGCCACAGATTTTTGGCATTTGTTTATGTGAGCAACTTAACAATTTATCCAGGTTTTTTTATAAAGTATTGCAAGGCTTAAAAAACATTTATTGAAGTATCGTGCTTTATTTTTAAGCCTAGCATCGCATTTTAAGCATCACCTTTTAATTATAAGTTAAAAGATAGTACTGAAATTTGGCATTGAGACTGGTGAATACTGATTATTGATCACACTGCATTCACCAGTCCAGATGTATTTTTATGTTAAAGGTGACTGTTTAAAGATGTTCTCCCTTTCTTATACAATGGTACAGTAAGAATGTCAAAGCCTTCATTCTGATGTAATGGTTATTCAGGAAGTAAATGATCAGCCAATGTTTGAGCCAAAGAAAACTTTCTGGACAACTATTGCCAGGCAATTATTTATGATACCATGAATAAAAAGTTTCATGGGAAAACTGTATTTTAGACAAAACAGAAAAATGCAGTGCACCTTGAATAAGGTTTCAAGACAGCCTGTCGGTTCTCTTACACAGGTTCTGAAATTAATGTGGAACAAAAGGAAGTGTAGCCAAAATCTAATGCAAACACTGACAAATAAATGTTAGGGATATTCTCTTTACGTATAACTTGCAGTTGTAAGCAAACATTGAGACTTATAAGAACTATTTCAATCATAGTTCTACACTGGTGAGTCTTAGTTTTTCTAAATCTTTGTTACATAATTTCCATGTGTTTACATTTTGGCATTAGAGACTGCTATTCTTTCTGGTTTTTACTGTGGACAAACATGCATATTAGGAGGAGAATGGCTTGAAAATTAACATTATGTTATCAAGAATAAAGTCAACAATAAACAAGTAAAATTTCTTTAGAAGTCTTTTCATGCTTGCATGCAATGTATCATAAAATACTTCATAGGCTACACTGCAGGTCAAAATCGATAGATTACATTCTTGCATTCTAGTCAGTATTAAAATCTGTAGGATGTTTTTCCAGCTACTCAGCTACAGCTTTCCCTTCAGCCTTCTTGTTCTGTTTTGGGGGAAGAAATTAGATGGGGAAGGACGCAATCTGGGACAGCAGAGATCATTTGCAGGGTTGCTGTGTGTCCGGTAGAGGGAGTGTGTTAATGCAGCATGTTCAGAAAAGTGAATTGGTTTTGTCTTGATTGCCATGAAAAGAGAAGGGATCTTCTCACCTTAAATGCAGGAGGTAAAATCTGGAAGCGGATACTGGATTTTTGACTATTTTCTACCTATGAAAATGTTGAAAATATTCCGTAGTAAGTTACTGCACACTTTACTTTGAAATGCTTGTGTTCTTATAAATATTCTTTTGACTAAAAAATGAAATCTAAAGCAAAAATCTAAACATACTGGTTAGGTTGTTCCTTCATTTCTTCTAATGTGGAAAAGCATTGTGCTAAAAGCTCATTTCCAGTTTAATGAGAACCATAAATGATAATAGTAAACAGGATGAGCTATGCTGAAAATAGAGCTGTTAGGCAAGAATTTCTCAAGGAAAATAGACTGAACTGAGTTAAAGCACTCACTGATGATACTGGCAAATGAAAATGGAAGCCTGTTTAATAAAATATACCAATGAGAGGCCCTGAATCTTTGAACCCTCGAGCTGGAGCTTGAGGGTGATGG